GGATTGAATTTGCTACGTAATAACATTAAAGATCTCTACGTCACAAACCCAGGCATAGTTTTAATTTGACAGCTCCATTGAGTTTAATTTTGAATGTATATATTATTCAGATATTTGCTATTAGTATGTCATTGGTGTTGTGTTGTAACGTTGCAGGAGATCACTCTGTGGAGGAAAGGTGACATCGTGAGGAAGAGTATGTCTCACCAAGCGGCCATCGCCTCCCAGCGCTTCGAGGGCTCCTCCAATCCAGAGAAGTCTCAGGCCCAGAGCAACGAAGAGGACGACAGCTAAAGCCCAGCATGCACTTCACCCGCCGCGTAGTGAGTGTCTGAGTGAACACAGTGCAGAAACCGTCAGCAGAGTCTGAATGTGTATATCATGTTTGCATCAAGATAGAATGCACTGCAGTGTTTTTCAGAACGTGTGTGTATGTGAGAGAGCGAGAGGTTTTGAAATATGACTGTGTGTTTGTCCAGGGAACAAACAGTGAGATCCGGCTAAAGCTGTAGTTGCAAATAATTTTAAGTGTTTGTTTTAACCATCTTGAAGTACCAGCTGGGTGGAGTTTACCACAGAAAGACTTCTGTCATTAAACACTGCACAGATTCAATTTACTTAAAGTGCTTACTTAATTCTTTCTGTGTTTTTTATACAGTTATTGATCGGGACAAACTTCACCTATTAGATGCACTTAAATACCATTTGCAGATCCTGTTTGGCCGATACCTTTAATTCTTATGTGTACGAATGTAGAGAACGTGGCAGAGAGCCACCTCGTGTGTTTTTCTAACGCAAGCTTTCTGTCAAACTGCTTACTTGGCTGGACAATTGCGCTGTGCAGAAACTGTAATCAAACTGTAGATTTATTTAAAAAAAAAATTCATCTTATAATACATGTCTGCACACTAGAGGGTGAAATTAATTAATGTAAGATTATTTTCCTGCCGTGTGCTTTGCTGAGTAACAGCTCCTCTCATTTGGTTTTAATTAAAAAGTTTGTTAAAAATGTTTTGCTTCCTCATGAGAAAAGAAAATACCTTTAACATATTTGTATAGGAAAAAGCTTCGATTATTTTCATACATTCCAAGACTCTCATCAGAAACAGACATGACGACAGAGTATTTATTTTTTATTAAAAGTCCATTTCTAACCAGAATTGAACATCTTTGATGCATCAGTTAGTTTTGGGTCCGGTTCAGGTGGAGCCACTGCTGCTTCTTAAAAATGTGGCACTTGTAAGTGATGTGGGATCTTTTCATCCATCATGGTTTCAGTTCCCGATCGCTTTTCTGATTTGCACTATAATCTCATTATGTTTTGTTGTCTTCTCTGCTCTCAGTGCTGCTTATGAACTGACTGGACTTGTGACAGGGTTCAGAATAACAGTAAAAGCCAGACTCCACTTCCCCAGAGCTTCACCTCAGATCTGATGTAGACAGTATTACAGCTGTGCACAGGGACATGGCCGACACAGATGTTGTGAGTCCTGACTGCCCGTAGGTGAGTTAGCTTTGTGCCTAAGGGTTTATTGCCAAAACGTTTCAGTGCAATACTAGAGAGTGACAAGTTGCAAAGTAAAAAATGAGTTAAGTGTAAAGATGGTTTCCAATCATTTTATTTTGGAAAAGGTAAATACATGAGTAAAGCTACTCAGTCATATTGAGAAACTCAGAAACCGAAGAATCCCAAACTATCTTTGAAACAACATTAATTCAGTTTTGTCCTGCAATTGTCTGGCAGAGTTCCTGCACCATTACTTCCTTTTATTTAGTTTCCTTTTCCATTCTGAAATAGCAAGAGCACACGAGTGAATATAAAGTCTGAAGCACTGAAACTGAGCCGCAGCTCTCAGCTTGTTGTCCTTACTTTGCCCCATAGCCTGCAGCCTTTTGCTCGACAAGCTTCTGCTGTGCACCTTTGCAAAATCTTTCACTGTGTATCATAATGTGAGATTTCTAAATGTTTATGTTCCGTACTTTTTTTTTCGCAAAAAGGTCAGATTCTTAGTGTGCTGTTGTGCTAAAACATGTCCAGTGTCACCAGACTGCTGTTCCTGCTTAAAACTGCAGAACACCAGCCTGAGGTGTTGATCTGAGCCAACAGGACTTTATTATTCAGATTCATGTAGCTTGACTGAGGAGGTTTTCTTTGACATGTTATTGATAGTGGTAGAAATCACTGTCATTTACGCTACTCTGCATCTTCTGGTAAAACTCTAAGAGACTATATGAAAATGATTGGGCTGGAGAGGAGAGCTGAACCTTAACTCTGACCTTTTTTTTAATTCCCTCCTCTGGGCAATCAGTTTGCTTTAAAATATGAATAACCTTTATAAATTGCAACACCCTCCTCCCTAATTTTTCAAACTAACCACAATTTCACTCTTCAAGTGTGAGTTGGTAAGTTGTTTCTAAAACACTTCTCATCTGATTAGTGCTTCCAGCTGTTAGTGCCAGTGTCACTGAATCAGGGAACAGGAGGCAATCACCAGTGTTAGGCAACCCAACCTGACCTACAACTGGGAGGACAGGTTGGGATGTGCCCGGAGCAGTACAAGGTGATGCTTTATGGCTCTAGTTCATAAAAAAGGAAAAGGGAGAGACTGGAGGGAAATAACAGAAAATGATCTTCACTTTCTGTGTGAAGCTTCAGACAGAAATAAGATTTATTAAGATCCACATCCTTGAGGTAATGACTGTTGTGATTTGGCACTACACAAATACATTTGAACTGAATCTGCTGTTTCTCAAGAATGATAAAACTTTCAACTTGTAATTAGGGGCATAGGCTACAAGGCAAAAGTGATCTCAAGAACAGAGAGCACTTGCTAAATATCTACTAAATAACAGAAAGGTAAAACTTGAATAGAGAGACATGACCGTCACAAACTACTTATCAGTCATTTGAATCTATAAAATCTCTAAAAATGGGGGCCACAAATTTCAACGCCTCTTTTCATTCCTCCCCCTGTTCTGTGACCCCACCACCCAGCCCTGTAACTTTCATATAGTCTCTAAATTGTATAGAATGTATTCTCCATTATTCCCCTGCCTAATTCATTGTACTTTATTTTGCTGCTTGCTTCCAATGATCCAACCCTGAAATCTGTTAAAGAAAAGCAAGTTACTGTCAAGAAACCCAAAGCTTTTTTCGATGTGTCTTCTTATTTTATTTTCCGCCTGTACTTGTACAAACATGCCATAGCTAAACTAACCCAGATTGTAATAGAGACTAAACTGCGGTGAAAATGGAAAAGAGTGATGAATTGTACAGTGTACTATAAATGCACAATATAAATTAAACCTCCTCCTTTTTTATTTTCTCGTCATATTTTATCTTCCTGCCGGTAATTGCTGATTTGAATCATTTTACATTCCTGTTTTACTTTGCATTAAAAGGGAGTATCCGGACAACACTTCTTCTCTGTGTTCATATTTTGTGCAAAGTCACTCCTTCAAAAACTTCCCAAACTGATGGTCTGTATACTGAGCTCACTTCTACTAACATGGAAACTGTAGTTTTTTTTACCACAAATCTAAAGATGACAACTACGACTGCGTGTGTAGTCCTGAAAGTGATGTAAAGTGTTTTTCACTTTTGCTGAGAGTACTGTTTTGCATTCTGCATCATGGTTGAATCCAGTAAAGCTCTCATAGATGACCACAGTAAATCCCCAGTATAACTGTGTGAAGCACATGTCGTCACTAGGGGGCAGGTTTGGATCAAACTTCTGTGTGAACCAGATTTCTTGATGGCAAATCACAAACTAATTTGTACAACATATAGAGGCATTGTTAAATAACATGACTGTAAGCATCGCAGATCATGAGTTAAGAGCAGTCGTCTAGACATTAGCGCTAAGTGATAACCTGCAGTTATTACAGCTGTCACACTCCACATCTGTAATTTAGGTCTTAAAGAAAATCCCAGTGCGGATCAGCCCTGCAAAGATTTCGAGCGAAGGTAGTTTTTTTTCTGCCTCAGAAATAAAAAAGGAAACTTGTCACTCCTGAGGCAAATCTTTTGCTTTTATGTGGAGTGCAGCAGATAAAACTCCAAATGACTCATTCATCATGTTAAATAGGGAGTGAAGCTCCAGCAGCTAAATAGATTAAGGGATGATATTGCGACGTGTTACGTGATGAATGTGCTTTGTCAATATCCAGGGAGCACGTCTGCCATGCAAAGGAAAACCTTTAAACGGTCCTGAATAAATACAGAGTGAAGGTCCCAGCGTGCTCAGTAGGCTTCATCTGGAATTCCTTGTGTTGAACAGACAGAGCAACAGTGTGGTGGTGCAAGTGCAGATGGACCATAACAACATGTTCAACCATGTTCATGGGACAGACACACCGAATTCCAACCCCTTGATTTGAACAGATTCACTTTATTAGCTGAAGAAGAATCTATTGCCCACACTTTTCATTGTCACATGGCTCAGTGCAGGACTTACACAACTCCCCAGTGTGTCACATGTGTCCAAATCTGCTCCCTCAGCACGGTGACAGCAGCTGTGGTATCTTTGCGTGTCTGAATGAACACACTTAAAGGTGCAGTGTGTCAGATTTAGGTGAAAGGGATCTATTGGCAGAAATTTAATGTAGAATAATCCTCATGATGTTTTCACGAGTTAGTTTCATCTAAATTGTATGAATTGTAGTTTTCTTTACCACAGAAAAGGCCCTTTATATTTAAATACTTTATATTTACATTGAGGGGGTCCTCTCTACCGAGGCCGCCATGTTTTTTACATTAGTCCAGACTGAACAAACTAAACACCTTTTGAGTTTTTATGACAACTGAAGCTACCACAGGATCTTTTTCATGTTTGGAAGGAGAGGATGAGGTGAGGGGTGTTCAGCTGCAACATGCAACTTCAACACTAGATCTCACAAAATTCTACACACTGCACCCTTAGTGACAACATGGGTTTGTGATGCCAGAAGAACAATATCATCAAAGATTCTCCAGACTGTCTCCAAACAACCACTTTCCTGTTCACACTAGACATTAAAGATCCATGATATGCTTTCAGTGGAGGTGATGGGGGAACAAAATCCACATGAGGCTCCAGGAGTCCAGAGGAGTCCAACTGAATGGAAATCCTCCAGAGTGCAGTCATCTTAGCACAAAATGTGTTCCTTTTGTCACTGTCCTTCAGCGTCCTCTAACAATCCATAAACATGCAGGTTTGGATAATTAGAGATCCCAAACTGCCATCAGCTGATGCTTCTTGGTATGTTGGTCTTGTAATGGACTGGCAACCTATTGCCCAATATCAGCTGGGTTTCCCTGCGACCCTCAAAAAAAATAGATGGATGGATCTTCCTGTTCTTCAACTGCAGCTCAACAAGGAATTGGACATTTAAGAGAGAAAGACTGTAAGACTGCCGCTGAATCTTAGTTCTGTCTAAACTATTAACGTTGTGCAGCTAATGACTGACTGAAACTTTATATGTGCATAAATACTTAAACATGCATTCTGTAAGTGCAACAATGTGCAGTGTTGTGCTATTATGAGAACAAACATGTTTGTCATGCAGCTGATGACAGTGACTGGGTATAAGCTGTAAATGTACGTCATGGTAAATCGCACACTGTATGAAAAAAGAAAGTATTTTGTTGAATGTGAATCTTGTGCTGGAGAAGTCAAGCACACTACAGATGCAGAACACCTTTGCTGCACAGTATTTCAGATGAGACTGGCTTCCCTACATACTCCTTTAGAGGATGTAACAAGGACTGTCATGATCAAACCATTATTCCCACTATTCTATCAGGTAAACACCCAATAGATTCACTTACTATCTGCCCATTGAATTTCACAAAAATACAGCTTGTAACCGGTCCCAAATTTAAATTGAATGTAATACCTAAGAATACATAAATAACATGCTTGTAAAAAAAACCAGACCTGCACAAATGTAAAACTATGAAAAATGATCATTTCAAGCCTTTCTGTCATAGTTTTGCCTCTACACATAACAATACAGCCACAAATCAACACCTCGGTCCAAACAGTGTAAGCCAGGGTCATCTTCTGTTTACTGGCTTGAAGAAAGACAGTGCAGCTGTGTGCTGGACGTTGAATCCTCCGAAGCACATTGCCCTCAGAGGTCACCCTGCCTCTGTGCAGCATCTGTGTGTGCATGTTACTGCGACAGCTAAAAACTCCTCTCGCACTTCAGCGACACGCAAACAGTGTCGACTCTGATGTCTAATAAAAACTTTTATGGGGAATGGAGTTGTATATAAATATCTTCATCAGCTGCTTTTACATAACTGTAAAACAAGCCATCATGCAACCACGACTACACACTCTTCCTGTCTGAACTGTATCTGGATGCACTTTAAACCTTTTAATCTAATGGGGATGTATTTAGCTCATTTCCTACACATGTTGGAAGGGCTGTACCAATTCACAACATCAGAGCAGAAGGGGCTTCATGAGGGTGGGGGGGGCTTAAAGAGACTAAAGCTAAAACACAGTGTTTCAGACAGAGGCTGAAAATAGGAGCTGCAACAGTGGACAATATGAGGAAATGATGTGTTATCTGAACATTAGAATATATAAACCTTTTCGAGTAATATTCCAAATTAAAACTGTGAACTTGAATATGAGTTTATTTTAAAGATACCCCTTAGTCTGGTCTTTGCATTAGCTTGGCTGGTGAGATGGAACTAGCCAAAATGGTTGTAAAGTAATTTAAATATCTTGTTTTTTTAATTGGCAATATCAAAACTGACCCTTATTGAAAAGAATTAATAATTTGACTTGATATTTTCAAGTGTTGTTAGTACTCCTAAGATATGTTGCAACACCTGCATGAATGGAGTAAAAACTCTTCAGCTGTGATTTGTAGCAAATACCAAACTAATGCTGTTTTCAGACATGAACTAGGGAGGATGTCTGGATTCATTTCACAGTGGAGACCATGTGTTTACAGCACATCTACTCTGGAGTCGGGCCTTATCACCAAAAGCTTTTGTGATGTCTTCAGTTGGTGTCTTCTACACGTGTGGCTCTACTTTTTCTAAATTATTCTATAATTTAATTTTTTTCCCATTTTTGCATGATAGCAACGTCAACAACACTCACTGGCATGCAGTGAAATCCCCAGAGGCCGTCTTCTGCTGTGTCCTAACATCGGCTCATCTGGACATTCCCCCGGAGTTGTTATTATGGGGCTTGCAGGAGAAATTCCAGAATTACACTGATCTTTTCAACCTGATTCATAACATATAGTCACATTTCTCTGTCTTTTTAAAAAGTGTTAATCACAAGTGAGGTGTGGTCCACAGTGTGAGATCTACCCTCTGCCTCTTACTTGATCTGCAGCAGCAGTGGTTTTCTTTTGCTTGCTCCCTGCATTAGATGATGATTTGAATCAGAAATGCTCAGAGGCCTTTAATCCTTATTTAACTTGGCAAAGTGGCTAAAAATGGGCTTATGCACGCCATGCATATGAAAGTTGCTGAACACAGTGCTGCACCACTGAGCATCTCCAGTGAAACATGTGGGCAGGGCCTTGCTCGGCAGCACTTGGAGCATTGTTTGTTTGTGTGAGAGAGTGTTTTTCCAGTCATCACAAAACTCCAGGGAAAAGTCCGGAGGCTCTCACTCGGACAACTGCGTTCTGTCCGGCACGTCCGACATCAGTTTATGTCGAGTTTGGAAGAACTCATCCCTGGATCCCACAGGGAGGCGTGATACCCTCGGTGTGGCGGTGATGTGAATTCCCACTCTGGAGTGTTTGTCTCGCTTGGTGTGCAGCATTTCCGGCAGCACGTGAAGGCAGCACAGAGGCAGCGCTGCTCCGGCCAGGCTCCAGTCAGTGAGAGCTCTCCGCCGGGCAGCGCATGGAGGAGATCCCGCTTCACTAGTTTCATCCTGGATCTGAATACCCACCGCGACTCCGGAGGAAAGGGACTTCAGTCAGACTCAAGTGTAGAAAGTGAGTGAATCTCTTCGGGGAGACAGTGGTTCTGACTCCCCCCCCCTCCCCGCCGTTAGAACAGTAACGGCCGCCTGTGAGCGGCGTCGTCCCGGGGGGAGCCTCTTTTTGTTCAGGGGTGAACACACAGCTAACAACCGCTGGCGCCTTTTTACCTCCAGCCCGGAGAGTGACTGAGAAATGTCCGCGGACGCTCTGTGCCCGACGGGCGTGAGTCTGCTGGGTTAAGCCGCGATGAGGAGAGAGTTTACCAGCGGTGAAGCTCCAGCCGGGGACAGCGAAAGCTAAGCTCGTCCCAGCCGCCGCCGCCGCCGGTGCCCAGAGACCGCAGCCAACGCCGCTGAAACACAGGTACTTCACTGGAGCTCTCCCCCGCTCGTCGTGTGGGTTTTACCCGCAGTTTCTTCACTCTGCTCGGCCAGAGCTGGAGACTTTAGTGGGCAGACTGTGTGAATTGTCTAGTGTGAGACGGCGCGCATGTGTGTGTAAGCGTGTTTGTATTGTGTGTGTGTGTGTGTGTGTGAGGGGGGGTGTTTACCAAAGCGAGGGTACATCTCTTCAGCTAGTCATTGCTAATCCCCCCGTAGTGAGAGTATTATCTGCAGAATCCCATTGAAAAATAGGGCAATTTAACCCTGCCGAGTGTTCCATTAATGTGGAATATCTTGTTCTCGCACATCCAACTACATGCAAACAACAGAGCCGGTGAACTCTTCTCGTTCCTGGGAGTTTAATGGAGACATGATCTATTCATACGCCGCATGGTGAATCTGAGGATGCCGCATTCACTCGAAACCCGCATTGAGTCAGAAAAGGTTATTATAATTGTACTTTTCGCCATTAACGCCGACCAGCATATGAATAAAACATTAAAGTGCTGCATCCTCGAATGGAGTTTGGTTTGTGGTGACGAAAAGTGCACACGTGAGGGTCTAAAAAGCTGGTGTGATGACGTCTGCTCGGTTCCGTAGCAAACAATTCATTTAGTGGATGATGATGTATTGTCTGGTTTAAAATCTCACATCATCTGCAGCTTCACTGAAACACGTGTCAGCTGTTTCACCAGAGAAAGGCCGGATCCCTCTGCTTCCACCAGAACAGAAATAGATCAGGGTGATATCGTTTCAACAGTTGGGTTGAAAAGGAGAACCACTGGGAACTGTGTCAACTAATGGCTGCTAAATAACAACAATGCAACAATGTTGTGACTTGAATGCAGTCATTATCAATTCCAGTAGCATCCAGTCTAGACAGAAAAGTAGGAAAGCTACGGTTAAGACTGGATACAGATGTGCTAAAGGTTGAGCTGATCCCCAAAAACTTGTTTTTCCGACAGATCTGTATCCACAAATGTAGAAAGCAAGATGAATATAGTGAGAGTATCCACCAAAGCCAGTAACACTTACCGGCTCTGATTAAAGATGCTTAGACCATCCACAAGAATATGGAGCAACAAGCCAGTGTGGAAAACTCACCAGATATGTGGTCTGAGGGCATGACCCCCAGATAAAAGTCATATTTCTACTCTTTATTCTCTCACTTATGTTTGAAATGTTAATCATAAGTGAGGTGTGGTCCACAGTGTGAGATCGACCCTCTGCCTCACGTTACTTGATCTGCAGCAGCAGTGGTTTTCTGTTGCCTCGCTCCCTGCATTAGATGATGATTTGAATCAGAAATGCTCAGAGGCCTTGTTGTCTCAGTACCTGTACTCTGTACAATGACAATAAAGTTGAATCTAATCTAATCTTAATCCTTATTTAACTTGGCAAACTGGCTGCAAACGGGCTTACATGCCATCCATATGCAAATTGCTCAACACAGTGCTGCACCGCTGAGCATCTCCAGTGAAACATGTGGGCAGGGCCTTGCTCAGAGGCACTTTGAGCAATGTGTTCTCCAGAGGACTGAGAGTTTTCCAGTCATCTTATGCAACATTTTCCGGACAGCATAACCAATGGTTCGGCAACATGCCTCTTAGAGCTATTACATTGCTGCTTGATTGGGCTGGAACAGTTTACAAGTCATGGTTCGTTAACATGTTTGCTGTCAGGGTCACGGTTCAGTGCTGCATGTTTGTTTTTTTTGTGTTTTTGTGGAAACAAATTCTAACATCTTATCTCAATTTGTACAATCATACTAGCATTCTCTGCATGTTCGTGCTTGATTTCAGCCTGCCCCCTCCTCCAGTTTGACATAGTTCCTTCCAGGAAGAAATAACTGCACCTGCTTTTTCATAACTACTTCATCAAAAGGCTTCATCATTATACACTTGTTTACAACACCTGTCATTTTGCTCAAGGATATACACTCACATAGCAAAGTGCTGCTGTAAATATCCTTTTTCAATCTGAAGGAGTGATTTACAAATGAGCAGTGTACAGACTAATCTTTTCGATAGCAGCTAGAATATATATACGATTCTTTGAATGAAATCTGATGTTGCAATATGGAGACCTTTGGCCAAATAGAACATTATGAATATTTGACGAGTCTGTGCTGACTGCATAAAGGGCACACCCTGTGTCACTGGGTGAGTTTCCATGTCAATTATACGTTTCTTTTGCACTGAATTTTTGGCGAGAGACTTGCATCCACCTATTTCAATTAGTACTTCCTCTGTTAAAGTTTTAGAATAATGAGTTTTTGCTTGATGATTTAAACCATCAATCATTCACACACAAAGAGGCTGTAATTGCAGTTGTGATAAGTATTGTGTTCTTAGTTGCGCATTAAAGTCAGATGATTCATTTTCATTGTTCTGTTTTCTATTTTTTACTGCTAAATAGATCAAATTAAGACGCTATTAAGCACAAATTACTCATCAAATGACAAATGGTGGACTAAACACTGCCTTTATTAACCTTGTCTACGCCACTGTACTTTAATGTTACCACATCTTCCAATTTATACAGCACAGTGTTCCTGGTGATAGTGCCAGCAAACCAGCTCTTCTACTCGTGGTATTCAACACTTGTTAAAGCAAACAACTGCGAGCAGCTACAAAGTTGTAATATGTCTGAAAAACCAAAAGTTCTTGTGATATATTTTGTTGAGTTGCCGTTCATTATTTAAATGTTTACAGAAATTTACCTACAAAAACACATGAGAAATGTGTACATTTAGTCAAGGTCTGTTTAGTGGCAGACTGACCCTCTGGGACGTCCCAGATCTTCTAAAAAGCATTGAAGCTAAGCAGAGTTTTAACATGAAGCTGCTTTTTTCAGTGCATTTACCCTGTTTAATCACCAAGCCCTCTTTTTTGGAAGGGAGGGGACCTCAAGTTGTTTTTCAACCAGATCTGTTTAGACTGAGCAGGGGGCCCATCAGCCCTTTATAAACTCGTGCAATGCCAGAATATTGTAGATATAGTTTTATTTGTGGCCACTGATGATCACTGAAATTAACTTCGTTTTCCTAACAAGACAGGAAACATTACCGACGGAAGGTACTAGATGGGAGCAAATGAGCAAAACCAATACCGTTGTTAAAGTTTGGACAGAGCAGCCACAGCTGAAAAAACAACTCACTCTGTGCTGCAACAGATAAGACTGAACCCATTTCAGATTTACTGCCATGGTAACTTCAGGATTAGCCATATCTCAACAGATAGAGGGGACAAGTATTTGTAGTTGTAAATCTTGGAGACTGCAGCACATTTGTCACATAAGCTAAGCTGCTGCATTGGAGTCTGAGCTCAGGTTCGGAACCAGTGGACAAATAAACCAAACGTGTGATACAAGACTAAGCAGCAAAAGTAAGAAGACAAAGTAGCAAGCAGCCTGTGGTGAATTCTGTGGTCTGAAGATACCTCAGGTCACGTCAACGTTTTGGAATTTGAAATTGGTTGGATTGCAGTGAAATGTAGTCCAGACATTCACTGCCCATAATTCAGTATGTCTTCATTAATGCTGGCAGTTTATTTTCCGGACCAATGGTTCTGTCTATTAAACAACAAAGAAATAAACTAATTCCACATAACTCAGAACTAGAAGCTGAACAAAGGAATAATTGGTCATTTGATTAATTGATTATCAAAATACTTGATAAACCAATTGTTTAGCTCTAGTCTGGTTTTTGATCAACAATCTGCAAAACTAATGGCATTCCCATCAGCTTTAGATGATGTTTAGCACTAATTAGCCAGTGCTAGCGTGCTAACTGGACTGAACGAAGATGGTGAACATTGTAAACATTGTCAACATGATATCGGCTTGTTAGCGTTGTTGTTGTGAGTAGCATCTTTGTGTTAGCATTAAGCTCAGAGCACCACTGTGCCTATGCACCTTGTCATGTTGGAAAAGAGTTAATTTGTGTGACGTGTGGTTCGAATGCAGTGGTTTCCAGCTGTTCTTCACTAGCATGGCTGCAGACACCAAAATCCAATGCTAACTCTGTAATTGATTATGAAAGTGTTGATGTGTTCTGTCTGTTGTTCAGACTTCACTTTCAATGAAACATCCATCAGTCCTGGATGAAATCAGTTGCTTTACCTGTGGAGGAGCTGAATTCCTAATGTCTTTTTGTTTGTGCTGTTGCATCATGACACTGATTGATGAAGAAAAACTAATGTTTGGCATAAATATGAACATCTTAACAAATTATTTGTTTTCATATTTATGCAATTTGTTAGTAAGACAGGATTGACCCAGTTGTGATAAGATACATATTGATTCCACACAAAATCTAATGAATGTAATGTGAGTTACTAATAGGAAAGTACTGTGTATGTGGACACGTGGCAGTCTGAGGGCAGTGGCGCAAGGACCTGAGAAACAGGATGTTTCGCAAATCTCATTCTGCCTCAGCATGCAACGTGTATGTGACAGAACGCCTGTGAACACTCCCATTAGTCAGATGCCAAAAGTTGAGACAAGGAACTATAATTGGTTAACTTGTCACAGCTTACTTTATTCCTTAGTTTTGCCGGCCATGATGTGATCTAGTGAGGCCAGGGTCACGGTCCCAGGCTCAGGGTCCCAATTACCCCCCCCCCCCCCCCCCCCATTACGATATTCCATTTTTCTTACAGCAGTAATCGTTTTGTGGATTTTGCATCAGGTGTTTAGCAAATAGTCTGTTGTCATCTTTGTTTTGCAACATGGATGCTGCCTGTGCATCAAGTGATAAAGTTATACAGTACAGATACTTTGATTTTCTAACAGGAAGTCATACTTATTCTGTTATGCTAGTGAATGGCCTCAAAACAGTCCTCATAATAAAGCTAAGTCTTGGTTTGTATACCCTCTGTAGATTTTTATGTACAGTTATTTACATCAGAGATACAATGATAAAAGTGAATAAGGTTTTTCCAAAGAAATAATGAGATGAATATAATAACTTGTCTAAAA